ATCGGAAGTGGCAACACTTGGTTCAGCCTGACAGAGAAAGAAATGGCAAAATGGGCAATGGAGTGTCATGTCTTTTTGTTTGTTGAAATATAAGAGCCACTTAGTCAAAATCATTTTGTGTCTTGCCCGTCTCGTTCAGTCCCCATCAGCCGGACCTCAATAGAAAGCTAACCTACCAATGGAGCATCTGCCCCTGGTGGTCAGTGCGCATCATAGTGACTGGTCGAGCAGTTGTCCAAACGGTCGACCTATTAGTTGGACACTTGGCATATTAGGCTGTTATATATATACTACAGGCCTGGTGCACGAAATTCATGCACAGGGGTGGGGTGGTCCCCTCAGACCAGCCTGCACTCTCTCCAATCTGGGACCCCTCGGGGGATGTCCGACTGCCAGTTTTGGGCCTAAACTGGCAGTCAGAGATCCCTCTCACAATCCTGGACCACTGGCTCCTAATAGCTCACCTGCCTGCCAGCCTGGTCACCTCCAGCTGCCTCCCCTACCGGCCTGGTCACTCCTCACGGCTCACCCGCCAGCCTGGTCACCCCATGCAGCCTGCTTGTTCAGTCATTTGGTCGTCCCTCACTAACCCCCCTGCCAGCCTGATTGTAGGCAGCCATCTTGTGAAGGCATGAGGGTTAATTTGCATATTATCTCTTTATTATATAGGATAGATAGATAGATATATCAGCTTTAACTATAAGGGACAAAGATGATCCATGGTTTTTTAAAAATATTTTTAAATTGATTTTTAGAGAGAGAGAAAAGAAAAAGAAACATCCATGTGAGAGCACAACATCAGCTGCCTCATGTACTAGGAGCTTGCAAACGGGGTACATGTGCGCCCTGATCTGGAATTGAACCAGCAACCTTTTAGTGCACAGGACAACGCCCAACTAACTGAGCCACAGTGGTCAGGGCCCATTCTTCTTGAAATGTGGTCTCATCAGCTGTTATGCAGCACGTCCGCCTGGCTCTACTTCATCAACTCTGACCATATGTATCAGCCTTCTTTCTGATTGTTATTACATAATCCTGACCTTGGCCCTGTTCTCTCTAAATGTTCTCTGTGGTCAAGTGCCTCAGCTTTCACACCAAATCTGCATCTAAGAGAATTCATCTCTGAACTCTAGACCAAATGTCCCAATGTAAACTATACTTCACTCTTAGGCTGCCTAAATACATGTCTTCTAGTTTTACAAATATTTATTCCTCTTTTTGTTTATTTATATATTTTGGTAAAAGTCACCCATCCATCAAGTCACCAAGTCAGACATCTGGAAGCCTTGTACATCTTATCTGTTTCACCCGCCAGTCTATTCCCTGCCCAAAGAACAGTACCTGGTACAATCAGGCAGACAAGCAATAAATATTTGCTGGATAAATAAATTCTCAACCACTCATTTTTCCTTAATGAGTACATTTAGTTGGGGATGAAGTAATGTCAATTTGGGTCCTAAACATCTGATGTCACCATTTCCATTTTTTATTTTATTGTTTTTTTACATTACTTAGGACCTTATTATCTTTCTCCTGAACTACTCTGATAATTTTCTTATTACCCTTTACTTCACTTTTCTTCCCAGCAACTTCTGATTTTTCTCTGCTCTGCACCATTTCCAGAGATGTCTTCAAAAATTACAGTTCTGATTCTTTGAGTTCCCAACATGGCCTCCAAGACAAAGTCTTCATCATATTCCATGATCTGACCCATCTCCTTCCCTTGCCAGTGACTCTGCCTCACCAGCTCTCCATTCCCTGCCTCACGCTGTTCAGTATGCTCTGCAATTTTTAATTCTGTATTTGCCAGATCTTCCACACCATTCCTCAAACCTCTGCTTCTTTGTGCCCCCAAGTCTTCTACTTCCAACCTACACATAATCTCCTCTATAAAATCCTATTCTCTCTCCCTAGAGGTGGAATCGGCACCTCCTCTTCTAGTACCTTCATTATTCCCTATGTGAACTCTAGTAATAGCCTTCATGTTATTGGTGAGCTTGCCTACTTGAGTGCTTCTTGTTCTGGGCTATTACCTCCATAGGGGCCAAGACTATGACTTATTTATCTTTGACAGCCTTGTAAGGGTTCTATAATTGTTTGAATTAAGAAGTGGCATATCAATCAAATCTTCCAGAGAAACAAACATGAGCTACATACCTCCTTATTTTGAAGGTTCTCTGAGGTAGAAGGCAAAGATTCTACTGTATTTCCAGGACACACAGCCATCTGACTCACTGCATCTTTATTCCTAAAAGGAAATGCATTGACCTATCACATCATAATACTTCATATTATTTCAACATTTTACTTTAAGATTCAGAAGGATTATTACAGAAAATTCTGTAACCCCAAAGACCTGGAACTGCAACACTAAAACATTTATAAATGCTTTATTTTCATTCAAAAATAACAGAATTGAAAGGCTAACGAACATTATTTAGTGAACCAGAAAAAGAAAATGCTCACCTGATGAAAATTATTTTCACTTTCGAAGGGGCACATTTAATGATTGAGGAAGCATTCTGATGACTTCTTCCATATAAAATTTGCCCATTGATCTATGGGGAATAAATATCATTAATTGAGCCTGGAATTTTAATTTCGTAAATTTTTATCATCCTATCTAGCTAATGAAATGTTTTTCTTATTTTAAAATAATATTTCATATATATTTATATAATAAAATGGTAATATACTAATTAGACTAGGCATCCTTCCTTCCGGACAAAGCCGCAGCAGGCGGGGGCCACACTAGAGGCCCCCAGCCATGGTGGCAGCGGGCAGGGGCTGGGGCCAAGGGCCTTGCATGAATTTCGTGCATTAGGCCTCTAGTGTGTGTGTGTGTGTGTGTGTGTGTGTGTGTGTGTGTGTGTGTGTATCTCCTTTCCAGAACATGAACCTGACTTTGATGGTGAATAAAGAAAAGCTCATTTAGAAGCCAACATTAAAATGGTGTAATATGGCCTGAGCTCCAAGAGCTGAGGAGGCAGCACTTGGACTGACTGAAGGAGAGCAGACAGTGAGTTCCCTGGCAGGCACTGGGCCTCAGTGCGCTTTGTACAAAGCAGGGGCTCTGTGGGAGCACGTGTGACCTGCACAGAGCATCCAGAGAAGCCCTATACTGTCATATTTTCTAATTAGTCTCAAAACTCAAGGCTTGGGCATGGGCCACTGGGAGAAGCAATGCTGACAGAACTAGGATGTGGCAGTACATTGTGTCTATGCAGCACAGCACCTGATGAAAACTGCTGGTCTTCTAGTCCAGCGGTCGCCAACCTTTCAGACCTCACGGACCACCAGTGGTCCATGGACCACCGGTTGGTGACTGCTGTCCTAGTCATTTAGCCATTGCTGACTGAGCCTTTCTAACCAATAGAGAAATACACAAGTACAGGAAGAGCATTCAGGCAATACAAAAACGTGGATCCCAGACTAAAGGAGGCAAGGGCAAACAAAACAAGCAGATATAGTTCTAAAACTATAAAGCATGGTCCACAAGTTTATTTTGTTTGGAGGGCTGAGTTACTGTTTTAGTTATTTAGACTTAACCTTGACCCCAATGCACCCAACATCTGTCACTTGTACTATTAGGGATACAACTTTCAGAATGTCCAGTGGGCCAATCTCATCATGGGGAGTGACTGGTCATTTGGCTTTTCAAAAGCTCTTAATAAAAATGCAGCACACACAAAAAAAAGTTTTTGAAGTGTAATCTTTATTACTGTCTTGGGGCAAAAATTGTTTCTGGTGCTACATTGTCATGACCTTTCAATGGAAGTTAATGGGAACATGGACGCTACTTAGTAGAGATTTGCTTTAGTGCCAAATTTGCTGTAATGCATCTATTTTATTAGGCAAGCGGTAGTTTTCCGTCACTCTATGAGGCCCAGGTGAATTTTCTAGAAACTAATGATTCCTTTGCACCGATTCTGCAAAAGTAAATTCAGCATTTTCCACAAGAAATTACCTCTAGAAGCTCATCTGCAATCTGCAATCGACCATCTTTCCCAGCTGCTCCATTGGGATCAATCCCCACTATAAAGACACTCATCCTGGATCGATCTTTGTTCCCAGCAAGACTTAGACCCAAACCACTCCGACCTTTCTCCAGTTCAATCATGTGCAGCTCGCCGGCCAGAGTCCCGTAACGTTCTCTGATATTTTCTGCACATAACAACAGTAAGAGTATAGGTATTGAGAGTTAATTCATAGTCAAATGCTACTTAGAATAGCCTCAAAAGGGCATTATTTGTACCAAAATATGCTTGGCAGTTAAGAAAACCAAGGTAGAGTGGCCACCTGGGTTTCTAGGACTACCCACACTTTAAGGAATTTCTTTGCATTCAGGGTGCAGAGAGTATAATGTCTGGTTAACCGGCGTACCTGCGTGATCAGGTCCAAGAGTGGTCACATTAACAAACTCTCAGCTTGTGATTAAAACAGAAATTTAATTTATCATTTTCAAAGGAGAAAGAACACTGACATGTATTCTATATTGATTCTTAATTGGATCAATTTCACAAACTGCCATTTCCTGAATCCTAGAGTCTAGCAACACATCTTTTACATTCTTAGCTTCTGAAAAGCATGCCATTTTTCTTAAAGGAAATAATTATATATTTTAAATGAAACTTTTTAAAGTACTGACACAGTTATAACTTTTGGCTGAATTTTTAATATTACCCTATGAAATGGTTTATCTCCTTAGGAAACAAGAGACACAGCCATGATCCTAGCAACAGCTGCCTTTCCATGCTTCCTGCGCATCAGGAATTGTGGTCAGCATTCCTCAGACATTATCTAATTTAATGTTAGCAACTGGAAGTAAACGCTGTATTTTATTTATTTATTTTTAGAAAGAGAGAGGAAGAGAGATTTGTTGTTGCACTTATGTATGCATTCTTTGGTTTGCTTCATGTGCCCTGACCAGAGATCGAACCCGCAACCTTGGCGTACTGGGACAATGCTCTAACCAACTGAGCTACCCATCCAGGGCAGGAGTATTCATCTTGATTGGTCAGTGGAAGCTTTTCTCCCACAGGAAAATCTACACTGCGTGTCGCATCATGTTGCACAGTTGCTTGCTCCATATATCCAGACAAAAGGGAACGGGTTCATTATTGCACAGAGCCATCAGGTCAGGAGAATTCGATGTACCTGTCCCAGCTTTTGGACACTTGTCCTAAGTAGATTAGACCATCCATATCTCCCATCCCACATGTTCAACAGTTAGAATTTATTCTTTAAACTGAGAAGGCAAGGCCAAGTGTGGGGCCCCAGCCACAGGCGCAGTGGAGGAATCAGCCAGCAGCAGCACTAATTGTCAGGCTGTGAGGGAGCCATGCTTGAGGCCCTGTCCCAGGGAATCCACTCAACCACAGCTCCTTGACACATCAGTAAGAAACTGCTTTCTTAAGCCATGAAGTTTTGGGTAGCTTGTGACATGACAATAGGTAACTGAAATATTCCATTTAATGTTTTCCTCAGAGTATATTCTGGTGGGTTAGTAATATACTCTAATTTCATTAAAAATAGACTGAGAACTGTAAACTTTAGAAAATGTTACTACATGGCTGATGACATGTATTCTATATTGATTCTTAATTGGATCAATTTCACAAACTGCCATTTCCTGAATCCTAGAGTCTAGCAACACATCTTTTACATTCTTAGCTTCTGAAAAGCATGCCATTTTTCTTAAAGGAAATAATTATATATTTTAAATGAAACTTTTTAAAGTACTGACACAGTTATAACTTTTGGCTGAATTTTTAATATTACCCTATGAAATGGTTTATCTCCTTAGGAAACAAGAGACACAGCCATGATCCTAGCAACAGCTGCCTTTCCATGCTTCCTGCGCATCAGGAATTGTGGTCAGCATTCCTCAGACATTATCTAATTTAATGTTAGCAACTGGAGGTAAACGCTGTATTTTATTTATTTATTTATTTTTAGAAAGAGAGAGGAAGAGAGATTTGTTGTTGCACTTATGTATGCATTCTTTGGTTTGCTTCAGCCCTGACCAAAACCCGCAACCTTGGTGTACTGGGACAATGCTCTAACCAACTGAGCTACCCATCCAGGGCAGGAGTATTTAATATATTTTATTGATTTTTTACAGAGAGGAAGAGAGAGGGAAAGAGAGTTAGAAACATCGATGAGAGAGAAACATCGATCAGCTGCCTCCTGCACACCCCTTACTGGGGATGTGCCCACAACCAAGGTACATGCCCTTGACCGGAATCGAACCTGGGACCTTTCAGTCTGCAGGCTGACAACTCTATCCACCGAGCCAAACCGGCTAGGGCTAAACACTGTATTTTAAAAAGAGGGACAAACCACTAAGCTAATGCTCAGAGGTGGTTAAACAACTGCCAAATGCCCAAAGTTGTTATTTCAACAATTATACTGTATTACCACCCTCGTAGTGAAAACACCAAAATTCAAGGCATACTATCAACAATGGGAAACTCTGAGACCTAGAGAGGGGAGATGACTTGTTCAAGACCACAAGAAAGCTGGCCCAGTACTAGCTTCTGAGAGACTGCCCCGCCCTCTTTAGTTCCCATAAAAATGGCAAAGTGGGCTTTCACAGGAATGCAGACCAGAAGGAACGGAAGAAAATGATTTCATGCCTTGGGAATGCATGCTGAATTCAAGCAAAAACAAACAGTGTTTTTTTTTTCCCCTACACAAAACTGCAGTATTTATAACAAAAGCTGAAACATCCTTATTCATCCAGGGCATCGGCCTTGAGAAACGCAGAGCTATTTTAATACCTCTGACAATTAAATGCATTACAAAAAGACAACTTACTCCAGCTGTAACCAAACTCATCCTCTTTGTCCCCTTCTTCTGAGACCCTGCTTGCAGATGACTGGGCATGATCACCGCTCATTTCTGCAAATGCTGAAGGAGGGGGCAGAGGCGCATTGCACAATGGAGCCTTCTCTGGCTCTGGTTCTGACTGACTGGGTGCCTGTGGGAACAAGAGGAATGCTGTGGGTATGTGCAGATCAAAGGGGAAAAAGCCAAGGAAATGAAATAAGAAAATAATGTCAAAAACAAAAAAACTGGCTTTAAAAGATATGATACATAAATAATGGGGGGAAATAGATATATTTACAAATTGGTAGACAGGATTCAGGTAAGCTTCATACAAACGAAGTGGTATGTTCAGAAAACAGTTCATTAAATTGTTATTTGGTATTTTAAGGTGATAAACTATTCAATAACTTAAGATGAAAAATTATACAAACTTCCCTTCTGGAAAAGAAGTTTCATTCAAAAGTTGTCATAAATGTCCAGGGGTCTGGGCAAGATTTGGGGGGGGGGTCTAGAAAAGTCTTCCAAGAAACTAGAAAAAAATAGCCACGGATTAATAAAAAACCAAAGACGTTCAAAGCTTATTAGTGAGACTACATATAAATAATTTTTATTGCTACCGGAATCCTCTCTCCAAATGACTCAACACATCCCTGAAAATGTTACACATGCAGGTTCATCTCCCAGGGAGCCAGCTTGTTAGCACGGAGCACACAGACGTGGATCTGAGGGACGGCTTGGAGGGACAGCACCGTCGTTCCCTTGCCAAAGTAGCTCGAAAGGTAAATGAGAAAACATGGGAAAAAACTGCATATAAACCCAAAGAATGGTGCACTTGCTGCCACAGAGGTCCTAATCCAAAGAAAGGACTTGGTATCATCAAGTTGCAGAAAATCAAACAAAATATTCAAGTTTAGAAGGACCTTAACTCAATGAATTTATTTTGTGGATTAATAACCTGAGGCCATGAAAAGTGAAACGTTTTGTTTAAAATCACACAGTAGCACTAGAGTTCTTTTCGCTTAATTCTTAACCCAACCCAATGCACTTTCCATCATGCAGGCTGTCTTGTCCAATTTCCACCGTAAGACAGTGAGTACCTAATTCAAAGCTCAGAGATACCTGGCTGAAGTTCTAACCCTGGCATGACACTATCCCTGATGCCTTAAATCTCTATTATCCTATCTTTCCTTCTTTTACCTTTCATTCTACATAAAAATCCCTCTAATATGCCTTATTTTATTTTATATGTGTATATTTGGAAAAAAGGCTGTGATTTAAAAATAAAAAAACTTCTTACAGAACACACAGAATGATAGGCACAAATAATTAGGGATTAATAATTGGTGTCAAGATTCAGAATACCAGAAAATACACCTAATACTAAAATTATATGGCACTGAATGTAATCTTTCTTTAATGATTCAGAAAGCCCTTCAGGATTCTAAGCTACGACACAATGATCATAATAAACACAAATTACTACTGCTTTTCTGGCAAAACTTATTGATAGAGACTTACAGGGCAATTGATTTTTCAAATTACAGAATGTGCTGTATTAAAATATTCAGTTTACACACAATTGCCCAAACAGACAAGAATCACTAGTGCAAACAACATCCTTGTTACCTTCCCAAATGCTGGGCCACAAAACTCTCACATTAACAATGTACAAATAAAAAGTGAACAAACAAAAACACTAATGTGACCCAATAAAGGTTCATTAAACATACTAAGTTGGTGGGGAATATGTAATTTAAAATTTTTCTAATTAAAATAAAAAGTTACTTCTCTGTAACAATAGAAAATGTTAGCAAACATGAATTAAGCTCATTTAACTTTTAAAAATAGAAGAAAATTAATTTAACTTTCCCATATTTTAAGAAATTGATGGGTACACATTTTATAGACATTACTTACTGCATAATTGTTCTGAGTTGTTATTTTCCTTTAAAACAAAGTTTGCTTGCCTACAAACTGTTCAGGATCTTAGGCATATTTCTATGCTGTGAGTATAAATTGAAACGGTGCCCTACCATAACTGAGGAATCATAAAAAAAATCCACGCCTGTGTTTACCAATGGCAACCAGGTGTTCTATTTTACTGCCCCTAAAACATTCATTCTCACTGAGATAGTATAGTAGCTTGTCACTGACACTTCTTAAAAATCTGTTAGTAAAAATGTAGCTGTTTAACAAAGATGGCTTAGTTTTCATTGGTAAACATGCAACTGCACTTGAAATCACTCCATGCCATGTACGCACACAGTGTAATGTACACACACAGCACACGACAGCACACCACGTACTCATGAAAACTTCACACCAGGACAAACCTTAAATGGTGTGGGAGCAAAAGGGTTAGTTGGGGAACAATGGAAGACAACTCTACTTGAATTCTGCAATTCCTACAGTAACAGAAAACATATTCCTTCAGAGACATAGTCTTTGGTTTTCCTCGTTACAATACCATGAAATGCCAATGAATATTCATAAAATGCTTCCTGAGAGAAATTGTTCACAACTTTCTTCCTTCTCACAATCGCATTATAGTATCTTTATCCTGCAAATTTTTTTCCAGTTTTGGATTTATAATTCCATCAGTTACGAGAATATCCCAAGTACAGATTTACAAGCATTGAAACAGCTACACATTTCCTGAGTCAGGCATTTATATGGATGCACTGTATGAATATTCCACAGACTCCTACACATACACAATTTTCCGTGGAGTGGTTAACGCCTAGGAGAGCTTTTAGGACCACCTTGTTTAGGTTTATTAAAGATTTAAACCAATACACAGTTTTAAAGAAATTATGTGACAGTAATCCATATATTTAACAAAGACTTCATAGTAAGTATCAGAAAATTTAACGCACAGCAAAATACAGAAAAGGCACTGAACTCACAATTATCCCTTACTCTTCAGAAGGACCATCTAATTCAGCTATAAAAATGTTCTGCAAGAAAATGTGCTTAAGAAAGGATTTACGGTACATGCCCACTCCAAACACACAGTTGTCGTGTTTTGTTTTTCTCCCCTGCCCAAATCTAGTAAACAGTGAACTGGGACAAAGGCACGGCAGTAACACAGAACAAAACATGTGCAAAAGGCAAGGGCAAGACAATGGGCATTCTCCAACCTTGTCAGCGATGAACTGCAGAGAATCAGCAAATGGGTTAGTGCTGCTGAAGTTGTACTGAGGGTAAAGGCTGTGCGTCAAGGAAGGCAAGGGGGATTTCTAAAAGGAAACATAAGAGGCGCTGAGCCCAAAGAAATGGATCCCAAACAACTCAGTTTTAAGAACAAAGTACTTACTGGTTTAAATAACTGTGTAAAACTAGATCCTGTCAGATCTAGTATTAATAACAACATCTTATGAAACAGTCTGGAACGAAAGGTTTATCTCTAGTGACCGGAATCTACACTTTGATCTCAATCTGGCCACAAAACCATGTGGGGAATGAGTCTGACCAATGGATCCCAAATTTCTTTTGTTTTCACTGAATGACTTCACTCTCTGACAGATACACATATATTTGCCCACTTTATATAGTAATATATGCCCTATGTGTATCAGTAACTATCTTTCAAAATTGAAATCATATCAGTTTTCTAAATTTACATTTAAAAGCAAATTATGCTTTTTTGGTAAAACAAATAGTTTATCTTGTCCAGAATGCAAATTAAACATTTGTCTGCTAGTTCAGGGGTAAACTTTATTAGTCTTTTATCTCATTTCCCAATAAAGAAAATTTTCATATTTTGACGAGATGTTAAGGTTGCTTAAGATCAATAGTATTTTTTAGTTAAAAACAGAAATGAACAATTTTTTTTAAATGAACCACCATATGGCAGTGTTCTCTATTTCCGCCTACTTTTTTGTGAAGGTAGAAATATTGATATATATTTTTAAAATTCCCTATAAAAGTTCCCACATTACTGGGGTATTTATGAGGCTCTCAGTAACATTGGAAATGCGGCCTTAGAGTGCTTCTCCTAGGTTTTGTGGCTTGCCTGCGATATACCAAGCTAGGACTAGTGCCTTTGAATATACACATTAAAGGCAGGATGACTGCTAGACAGAATTTAGCATTTTCATAGTTAAAAAAAAAAAGTAATTTCCTTAGCACAATAAATTCTTCTCTTCATACCCACTATCTTTTTCTTTTATTGACTACATCTTTCAGGAGAAACTGCAGACATTTAAAATTCATTCTGGCTCCAGTGAAATGTTTGTGTTGCTTCTCTCTATTAAAAAAAGCTCTCCTGGCAAGCATGGAGAGTGGGGGAGGCCGTCACGTGACACCCCCTGCCTGGGAGCACTCTCTGGGGAGACTGTGGTCGCCTATGCTAACGCTGGTGCCACCTCACCCTTCAATCTGCTCTCCAGCAATGTTTCTCCTACACAGAGGAGACGGGAAAAGGAAACGGGCACCATGACATTTCTGCTCATCTCGACTTGTGCTCTGCTTTTCAGCTGAAAATGCCAACTCCTGCTTTACAAAAGAGAAGATCACAAATGCCTAGGAATGGGACCGCATATTACAGGGGAAGAAATGACGAGGCAGAGGTCAGAAATGCTTCCTAGGCAGAAAACCCAATGCTGTGGAAGGTCGAGCTTATTTCCAGTCCTCACACACGGAATTATTTGGTTGTATATTTCCTTTACAATTCTGTAGAATCACATAAAATAAAACCATAGCGGCAAGAAATACAATATGTAAACAGAGCTCCAGTTTTTTGTGTTGTTTTGGGTTCTTTCTTCTTCTTCTTTTTTTTTCATATGTAGCTCTTATAGGATTAGGATTTGGCCCAAGATTAGAATATAAAAGTACAGAATGAGCACAGCAAGGGAAGTGGTGGATCAGTCTGCTATTAAGGAAAGATTGATAGAAACAGACTATATTTTTATTAATAAATCGATGATGAAACTTCTGTTTATAGCTCCAAGGGCTGATAAAAATAGAAATGTTATTAACTAAGAAGCGGCATGGGGAAGACAGAACCATTCTCTGGCCCATGTTCACGGGCCCATCCTTGCCTGTGATGGTGCGGCCGGGCGGAATTCTGTGAAGTGCCCGCTGGAGGAATGAGCAGGGCTGGGGCTGGGGCTGGGATGGCCTGTTCTTGAAGTCTGAGAGCCACAGACTGGCTTTTCAGCCTCTGGGTAAGATTTTCTTAAAGCTCCATTCCATCCACAAATACAACATTTACCATGAAGAGACTCTTAGGTGTTTGTGATTTTTTTCCTTTAGATTATGGGAGACTCGATTTCTTTCTGTAGGGAAGTAAATCCCTGAATACAAAGTATCTCTCATTTCAAATGCAAAGTTAACTCTAATCTCCCAAAGCAAAATGCATATGCAGAGAAGGGAAAAAAAAATGCCTGTACCCTGCTCAGGTTCCCAGCTGGATCTCTGTAATAAGAAACAGATTCACAGGAGAAAATTATATACATATTGATTTACTATAAGTTTTAAGTGATACCAACCCTTCAGGAGGAAATAAAGACCTGAAGAAAGGGTTAAACCTGAGTGTTCTTCTACTAGGATGGATGAAGAGTGGGTGGTCAGGGAAAGTGTTATCGGACAAGAGAATATGAGCTAAGTGGGGTGAACCGGGGGAGCGGGGAGGTCAGCAACATCTGTTCATTCAGGTTCCTCTCAGCATCCCTCCACCTTGGAGACAAGGATGCTCCTCTCTCCAGGCAGGAAGGGCACCTCCCACTGAGGGTCTTACAAGCTGCTTCAGGGGAGAAGGGAAATCAGAGTCATTCCAGCAACCGCCTTTTCTCAAATTCCTTTAGCTTAAAATATTCAAGAGCCAACATGCCGTATTTTGGGGTAGCATGTCCCGAACCCTTTTTGAGTAAATATGTCATTCCACGCAAGATTTATTCTGGAATAATTGCTATAAAATCAGGCATCATTATACCACATATAATGAAACAGGAATATTTTCCAGGTGCATGAAAGAGAAAAAACAAACAAACAAAAAAACCCCACTTCCCAGCTCATTAGCAAATGTGACTGGCATTGAAAGAAATGTTTGTAGTTTAAGTTTTAAAAAAGTAATATGGAGAATCCTATTCAGCACTTTATAGTATTGTCCTAAATGATAGAAAAGTTTGAAATTAAAAGTGAAACAAAAAAAGAAAGGAATAAAACCCACCCACACAAAAAATAGCTTTAACTTAAACAGCCATTTACCAACATTACCATGCTGTGTCTATGTTTAACACCACAAATGGAAACAAACGTAGAAAGATTTATAGTTATTTAAACAAACTGAATAGCATATGAAAAGAATGTGGTATGATGCAGCCCTCCATTTGGCAGATTTTCTTATCTGAATGAATAATTATTACCTAACAATAAACAACTGAGTGATTATAAACTGCAGATGTGAAGATAAAGGCTTACATTGAGAACTACTAAATTCACTCCTTACTGTACACCCAGAGCAGCGCTACACCTGTCCCGACAACAAAGGGAAGGACCAGAGGGACAGATCTAGTCACTTTTATTCCACGGCTCAGAAGACTGACAAATCTCATCCACAGAGCTGTGTGCTACGTCTCTACCATCATTTGGGCATTGATATCTTAAATCCTTAATTTTAAAAGTTCGATGTATTTTCTATAAAAATTCCACATTTTAAGTTTTAGATCATTCTTTTACCTACCCTCACGCATACTGACATTTTCCTTTTAAAGACAGCCAACCCCAAAGGCTAATAAAAGTTCTCTTTGAGAACCAGCCTGTCAGGGATTCTTACTTACATCTAGGCAACTCCTGTCTTTGGTGTGCAAGCCCTTCAGTGAACATGTATGTTTCTGAAGAACTTTCTAAGGGGTTTGCGGTCCAAATATACTTAAGAACTGCTGCACGTTAAAATAGTTTTCTTTTTACTGAGGCATAGAAAAATAGTTTTAAACGCTTGGCATGATTTTCCTCTTCAGCAACATTAGGGCGTATCAAATACACAAAGCCTCACATAGTATCGTCTCCATCAACAACTTTCACTGAATGCACTTATACTTTTAAAATATATTTTTGAAGCCATTTTACCTGTGATGACTGATGGTAAAATGAGTTAGTAGGTTTCTTTCCACCATACAGCGATGAAGAGCTATACAGTGATTGGGCCTGGGAGGTAGTAGTTATGAAGTCACTGGTATAGAAACATACAGTTGAAACAAAATCCACCATGTGGAAATTTAATGTTCAGTGGGATAGACAAATGCAGTAAAGATCATTCACAGGTGATCATGGATCGCATAAACTAGAAATTCTGTCTAAGGAAATAAATTTATAAAGAAAATGTAATCTCGCTGGCTTCTAAGGGACTTCACGAGAGGTCCCGGACTATTAACCTGAAAAAGACTCCACCACATTCCTCTTATAAATACTCTGTGACTATAATGAAATTAACAATTGTCCACCTAGATATCATTGGCCACCAATGAATCCTACCTCCTGTGTGTTGAAAACAGACTTCAAGTGCTTAGTAAACAAGATAGAAGGGATTTCCACAACAACTCAATGAAAAAAACAAGCAAAACAATCCTTTCACAAGTTTCCTGAGATTTCAAGACTCGGTATCTTTGCTTCCGGAGACAACTTGGCCCTTGACACATTAGATTCCGAGTTGAACACTGTGTGTATATGCCTCCCTTGCCCTCTGCGTTTGCTTACCCTTGGTCTGTTTATAATGCTCTGTACCATAAAGACTACAGGGTTGCCTGCTTTCCGAATGGCTTCCACAGCTTGCTCATGGCTTGCATCTCTGAGGTCCAGCCCATCCACCTGCAATGGAAGGCCTCAGCTTAACATTTCAAGAAGCTAGAGAACAAGAGAACAATTTGTGGTCTGGAGTTCTGAGGATCCTGGGGGAGGCTCCTGGAGAATCAGTGTCAGAACAAAAAGTAACTGCGGCTGCCTGTGAGGCTTCCGAACTTTCCATCTTTCAGCAGACTTGTGGGCCCTTGTTTTGGACACAGATTTCTGTCTTCAATAATCAACTGAAATAATCATCAATTAGAATCAAGGCTCTGCTTCTGCTTTCCTTAAACTGCTTGGCTGCTCCTTTAATAAATCAGCATAATTAAAGAAATAATATAAGGGAACTAACTGCCTAGTAGCACTAACATCATCATGAAAGTCACCGTACAAATATTTTCCAAATTCATTAGAGAGTGGTTTGGGAAGTGGTGGCTGATACATCATGTATTTTTCTCTGTACAGGGATGCTTGAGGTTAAAAACAAAATTCTGGCGTTCAGAAGTTACAGGTTATGGTGAGGTTAGTTTTGCAAAGGAATCTGTGCAGTAGACATGACAGGAGCTAGAAGCCAAGAAATTGTGCTTACTTGTTAGTAATTCTTATACAAATAGGTTGGAAATGAAAGTTATTTTGTAACCTTTTATTGACCATGGTTTGTGAGGGAGGAAAAGAGTTTGAAAGGCCAAATGCTAATCCTGTTAGAAAACTATAGGATATTATATAGTTTTATCATTTCCAATTACCACAATGTGGTATGTACAACAAAATAGCAAAATCAGAGTGGACACAATGCTGGAAAAGAAAATTATTATTTCTCTGCATTATCATATTTAAAAAACACACATATATTTAATTGAAAACCTCCCTCAGATTGATACTTAGATGATACTTAACATCTCTTTCAGTGGGTCTTGAAAATGAGTTCTAACGTTTTATAGAATAAAAGTTATATTAGTGAGTACTATACATCCCATTAGTGGGAAAGTTTAACAGGACATTTAATATCTTTGCTCATGTTCAAAGAACTCTACTTAGAAATCATTTTCAGGTCTCTACTCATCTAATCTACATATATTTTCAGAAACTCTTAGCAGAAACATGTTACAGAATCCCTAGAATTTCAGAAGCCTAAGGTATCTTATTTATGAGAAAAGCCCCAAAACATAACAGCCCTCAACAAACCACTGCTAAACAACATTCAGTATTTTACCACTCACACAAAAATTCTTTTCCATTCTAAAGGGATACTTTAACATTCTTAATACATTTAAACGATATTTTGGTGCAAAATATGATCAATCCTTTCCAGAAATAATTATAAATATTTCTTACTTTTTTTACTTAGGTGAAAGATATTTAATAATGAAGTATTCATAATATAAACTGCCTTGTGATAACCTAAAAATGGAAATTTTAGGTAGTACTCCAACTAAAAAAGAGCTCTTTAGAAGAAGGCTAAGGTGCCATCTAATCATCTAATGAGAGGTAAGTATATACAGGAAGAGAGAGAAAACCCACCATTCTTCCTTGTAAGTGGTCAGAGGAGGAAAAAACATCATAGCTCTTGCTTTCTCCCAGTAATAATCAATTAATCAAGGAATAAACAAAAAGTCCCCCAAATGCTAATTTTAAAATAATGGTTAATGTGTAACCTTCTTCTAAACAATTAAGGCATTTTAATGTGTAAGCTATATGGACTTAGAAAATGAGGGTCAATCATTTGCATAAAGTAAATATAATTGTCATTATAATAGTGAAGCAATCGGTTTCCATTTGGAAATTGTCTCTCTTAGTTTACTCTGTAAATCCTAACAACTCAGCAAATCTGGGGCAGTTATCTCTTCCTCTGTCCTCTTCACTTAAACCATGCTTCTCCTGATCAAAAAATCTATCACACTGCTCTGCAGTGACTTAATTGTCAGGCCTGTCCCACCTGGCAGGCAGGCAGGCAGGCACAGCCCTGTGTACTGTGGGATGCCCAGAGCCTGCTACAGCACCTGGAATGCAACAGCTGTTCCAGGAATATTTGTTAAGCAAATGAGTGAGTGACTCCTGAGGGAAGAGTCTATTTAAAATATTAAACTTTGATTTGAATTAAAGTATTAGGTACAATTTGACCAAATGCTTCTCTCTCGTATATAACAAAATACACTTAAATGTGTACACACATGCGTGGGCGTGCACACAGCCCTGAGTGATGAATGGAAAGCACTGAGGAGGAGGAAAACCTGTGCTTAGATGAGGGTGGGGGCATTTATATGCAAGGTAATCAGGGTCTTAGCACACAAAAAGACTCACTTGGAAAAAAATTTTCATCCAATAAAGTTTAGAATGAAATAACTATAAAGTACTTTTAGAAATAAAATCTCATAGGAAACTTAATTATGATGAACATATTTTTGTGTGTGTGTGTTTATATATATACTATTAAAGAATTATTTGCCCAGGAAATTTGCTTTGCTCTTTTAACCAGAACTTAATTATTTTATCTCAGAGCCAATGTTTTAAAACTGGTTGGTTGTACCTTCAAACATCAGTCTATACATCAAGATATATAATCTGTCACCATATTTTGAAGAGAGCAATTATGGGTGGAAAGAAACAAATAAGAAATGCTTTAACTGCGGACACATTTTTCTCTAATGTTTGGTCAAGTAATGGTGTAATGGTGATGATTCCCTTGGTAGAGAGCATGGAAGAGGGCGACGATTTTAGCTCAGAAAGCTCAGTGGAAGGTACCTCAACTATTCTATCTCCAGGTTTCAAGGTTCCATTTTTGCCAGCTGGACTATCTTCAAGAACATGTTTGATGAAAATGCCCCTCATCACTTCACCGTTGCTTAGTCGACTCCCCATCCCTCGTCCACCAACAATGCTGATGCCCAAGGACTTGCTTGGTTCTCTCCAAAGTTCAACCCTGTAAAAAATAAACAAAATGTTAATACATAAAAAAATAAATGAAATAAAAATAAGAAAACAGAGGGGGCAAGTTCATAACACTGGATTTGGCAAATTTTTTTTTTTTAATTTTTAGAAATGACACCAAAAGCAAAGACAACAAAAAGAATAGCCAAACTGGACTTCCACAAAATTAAAAACTTTTGTTTATCTAATGATACTTAGAGTAAAATGGCAACCCACAGAACAGGAGAAAATATTTGCAAATTTCATATGTGATAAGGGATTAATATCCAGAATATATAGAGAAACCCGAAAACTCAAGAACAAAAATAACCTGATTAAAAAATGGGCAAAGGACCTGAATAGACTTTCTCTAAAGAAGATATACAAATGGCCCATAAGCACATGAAAAGATGCTTAACACCACTAATCATTAGGAAAATGCAAATCAAAACTACATTGAGATACCACCTCACACCCATTAGTATGGCTACTTTAAAGAAAAACAAAGAAAATTTGTGCTGGCAAGGAAAATTTAGAGAAACAGAAGAAATCTGTACCCGTGTGCACTGTTGGCAGCAATGTAAAAGCTTGTAGCCACTAGGAAAATGGTATGGACATTCCTCAAAAAATTAAATATAAAGTTACCATATAATGCAGCAATTCCATTTCTGGGTATATACCCAAATTAATTCAAAGCATGGTCTTAAAGAAATATTTCTACAACCACTTTCATGGGAATATTATTCACAATAATGAAAAGGTAGAAGCAACCCAAGTGTCCATGTACAGAGGAATACATAAAAAAAATGGTATATACAAATAATGGTAAATAATTCAGTCTTTAAAAGGAAGGAAATTCTGACACATCCTACAACATAGAATAACCTTGAGAATATCATGCTAAGTGAAATAAGCCAGCTAAGTGAAATAAAGCACAAATACTACATGATTTCACTTAAATGATGTATCTAGTATAGCCACATCTATAAGGACCTAAGAAGAAGGGTGGTTGCTAGAAGGTGGGGGAGGAGGAAGTGGGGAATTATTAAATGATTACAGAGTTTGAATTTTACAATGAAAATAGTTCCATAGAGTGATGGTGTTAATGGTTACACAGCAGTAGGAACATACTTGATGTCACTACTCCGCAGAGTTAAAAATGATTCAAATGGTTAAAAATAATAACTATTTTTAAATTCAATGGAATAAAATGTCTTTATATATTAAGTTTGCAAATATTGCTTGCTCGATTTATTAAAGTTTTGCCAGTAGTAAGACAAGATCGTTTTAAATATTTTCTCAATTATGTTTTATGGGATCTGATAAATACTAATGCATTTCTGAAGCTGATTTTTTAAAGTAAATATCAAACGTACACACTCCAGGCTGGAGCACAAACCAAGGTACCATGTTTCAGGAGTCTATTATTGTAGACATTTAGTAATCAAGAAATTCAGCTACCCCTGAACAGACAGTTCTAAGTTCAGCAACGGAATCAAGAGAAAGAACATTCCTGCACCCACTATGTTGGAAGCTGACGTATGTATAAGTCTTTCTTGCCAGGGCAGATCTGATAACTAACAGTGGCGGACAAGATCCCACATGATCTGATTGATCACACTACCATTTCCATAAAAGCAACTCCCGCCACTCTCCCTTTCCCCTCTCCATTCCAGCAACCACAGCATCTTGCAGGGCCTTCAGTTCAGCAGACATGCTCTCCTGACTGAGGCCTTGGCCCTTGCTACATCTTTTGTCTTGAATGCACTTCATCTACTCACATAATAAACACATGGCCTCATATACAATCATTGCAAATATCTCTAAGAGCTGTGAATGAGCTGAAAATACACATCTAGTGACAAGGTCGGGATATAAGAATAAGCTGATTTGCAGAGAGGTGTTTGGCCAAGATGAGGGAGCAGCTCAGGGGAGTGGAAAGAAACAGTCACCAGGCAGAGAACTCTGAGACAGGCAGACTGCAGTTGGCCTCTGGCAAAAGGAGGACAATACTGGACATTAAGTAGGAGAAGAAAGCACGGCCCAAAAGTGCCCTCTACCTTGACATTTGAGGTGCTCCCAGAGGGGAGGAGAGGTTGGAGCCAGGACTCCAGTGAATGGGGGAGGTCCCAGTAAAAAAGGCAGGGGACAACAGAGCCCCCAGGTGGAGTGAGAGACTGGCTACTGGCCAGACAGTCAGATGATGAGACACTGCTTTGTTCCGTTTTTTTCTTTTTTCTTTACTAGAAATCTATAAACCTAGAGACTCGACCTGTTTAGTTTCAAAGCTCTCACCATGATCCTTGATCTCATGAAATCTTTTTAATAGTTTAAACTATTTAACATGCTCTTCATCACTTCCTTTCAGTCTAGAAATTGTTTAAGACAAAAACCAACACACTTCCTTGTCTCTTTAAAGCGGTTCCTTAAGTAAAATGGCAAAGTAGGGAAGTCAGTAAATTTAGTCACTGTATTTAATATCTAAGAATCCAGAATACATGCGTGGGCCTCCTTAACTCTTCTCTTAAAAAATGAAACAGAGAAAAGAAAAGGAAGAATGAAAGAAAATATCTCCTAGCATTCTCCGTGGTGGGTGTAAATTAAAAAGTGATTTTTATAATTTCCTGATGATAAAAGTAACAGCAGCGGCAAACACTTATTGAGGGCTTACCATGTACTCAGCATTATTATCTGAGTTCCATACACTTTCATTCAATTCCCACATCATCCATGTGGGGTGGACACTCTCATTAGCCCCATCTTACAAAGAGGCGAAGAGGCACAGAGAGGTTAAACAACCTTTGGATAAAAGTACCATATGCTTGTGCAGCTTTGGCACAGAGAGCTAAGGGTTTTCGAATACCCAATGCCTGGAAGAAAGGCTGTGCCAACTGAAAGCACTGGAGAAGATAACGAGAGAGGGACTGCCGACATGACCACAGTGCTGAGGAACCGACTCCTCACCGAATGGACCGGGTAAGCATTCCATGGGTAGAAAAAGAAGACCCCAAAAGAAAAGAAATACTTCATAGAACATATTCGGATTTAGTTTTATGGGAAGATGACAGCCTTTCTTAGACCGAGACAGAGATTTAAATAGGATGAAGTTTAGAAAAGCAGAAGTAAAACAGCTCTGAGGCCAGGCTGCCCATGCTCTGAACAGAGGGTCTCTGGGTCCAAGTCCTGCTTTTTTGCTACTAACAACTGTGGGCCCTCTGCAACCCACTTAGCCTCTCTCTTGCTTTCCTCATCTGTGAAATGGAGCCAAAGAGGCTCTGCATGAGATTGCTGCTGTGATTACTAAATTGATGAAAACATATAAAGTATGAAATGAAGCTTGACACACATGAAACAACCAGTAAGTCTACTATTTCTCTTACTATGATTATGATTCCTGACATAATGTAATTAAGCAATATATAAAATCCACTCCATATGACACATGGGTAAATGTGAGCGCCACCACCTCGATCCTCTTTTACCTACATGTTTATTAACACAAGGCACCATTTTCTACCCATCAGATTGACAAAAACTTTTTTAAAATGATCATAAGATGAAGTAACTAAGGATGTGAGGAAAAGGGAACTCTCTTAAGTTGGAAAACGAAGGAAAATGTGATAGAGCCATCTTGTAAAACAAGTTGACAATTTCTAGGAAAGTAAATTATAAATTTAAATCTATGAACCAGCAATTCCACTTTGGGGTATATACCTAGATAAATTCTCATACATAACTATAAGGAAATTGATATATTTACTGCATATAATTATTATAGTAGCAAATAACTACTAACTACTCAAATATCAATCTGGGAATAAACCGTGGTACAGTCATATATTGAAATGCACTGCAACAACTAAACTGAATGAATTAGGTCTTCAAGAATCAGCATGATAGATCTCCAAAGCACTGGATTGAGAGAGAAAAGTAAACAAGCTGGAAACCGATACAGACAATGACAATCACATGCAAAATAAAACAGGAACACAGATTATTTGCAATTTTAAAATTTACATTTTGCTAAAAAGTATTCTCTATTTCCACACAAAGGGAAATTTTTTGACTGCATGAATAAATGTCCCAGCAGGTTTCCAATGTTATAAAACATATTCATAACACTCACTCCTCATTTACTAAGAGTCCTGGTTATTTTGGTAAGTTTCTATGAACATAATACTCTATGAACTTTCCCCCAAAAGTACCTAATGCTTCTGTAAAGAATATAGAAGAGTGCAGAGTATCTTCTTTAAGATATCTGGAAGCTCCAGACATTCTCTATAAGGTAGCTACCACTTTTAGAGACTTCTCTTAGGCTGACATAAAGGTTAAAAAATTTAGGGCAGAAATTGAAAAGCGTTGCTGAACAGAAGTTACATTAATTTTTTCTCATAAGAATACTTTGTAATGATTCCTGTGTTCAACACTTTCCGTTTGCTTAGTTGTCCGTGATGATGATGACGGTGATTGTTGACAAGGTCAACCACTGAGTCTCATTCTGTACCAGGCACTATACTAAGAATTTTAAATGAATGATCACACTGAATTGTCCCCAAAATGTAAAAGGTTCTATTATTAATCCCACTTTACAAATGAAGTAACTGAGACCTAGCGAAGACTTAGAATCTTGTCTTAGAAAGTGACAAAGTTAGAATTCAAATATAGCTCTGATTACTCCAAACATTTTGCACAGTGCCTTCTAAAAACTACGTTTCCTCCTACAATTTATTAAAACTGTCCAACCGAACTTTTTATTTCCCTGTGATTATTGTCCTCCAACCAAATTCAAGTTTGTCATTATGGTCACCAACTACAAAATAATTTCATCTACTTTCTTTTGCTTCCATGCTCAAATAAGAAACTTAATATCTTATAATACATCTTGCCACAGATCTAGCACTTATATTCTGTTCTATGGGTTATGTAAGAGAGACTATGACTTTTCTAAGTGGACTAAACAGCTTTTCAAGAATTCAGATCAAGAAATCATTTAGAATGGCTGGAAATGCTTAGTTTTTTGTGAAAGCAACTTAAGTTTTTTTTATACTTCAAACGTGACTCAACCTAGAAAATATTTAAATGTGATGGCTGCTGCTTTATATTCATTTGTGAGTAAAGAAAATGATGAAACTGTACTATATCTCCGAAGAGCAGAAATTATTCTCTCTTGTAGAATAAGTATTATTATTGTAGAATATTAAGTATTTACTACTGTAGAATACAGATTAAGTATTTACTAAGTGAAAGGCACAATGTGATGGTCACCTTTACATCTGCTTAGAGGGAGTGTCCAATGATTACCCATATTTTACACTTAATGCAAAATACCTTACATTTTTCTTTAATTACTTTGTGTGTGTCTATATGCTGCATACCTAAGTAAATTACAGCCTTTATGAAGGCAGGATTTATGTCTTATTCTTCCCCGTTAGTCACAAAATCATCTGCTTCTTGTCTGAGTCTATAATCAGAACTCAATAAATTTCTATGAAATGAATGTGAATTCATGTAGCAAGAACACAGAAATGTGGCGTAGTAATGCACGGTGATATATCTGATCATAGTTAGGAAAGTCATCTTTTCTATTATACATGAAATTGAATAACAGCAGCCTGGGGATAACAAGGTTCTTACTGACACACCATCATAAATGCACACGCGTTTTGAATCTATAGTTTGTACAAATGTTAGATAAACTTTAATTAACATTTGATGGTATATTTAAGATTAAACCCTATAGAAAATACCCATTCAAACCACCTATGTATAATTTTCTTTAGTTAATTTTATTTAATCCTACTACATGCCAAACGGTTGCACATGTTAGTTATAACCCTGTGTGATACGTTATCTTCTCCACTGTAACATACATAAGATTATTAAACAACTTGCCCAACATCACAGTATCAAGTGATCATACAGCACTTGAAAGCACACCTCCCTATTTTTAAACACTGAGTGGGCTGAAGACAGAAACAGTCCTTACCGCCTGGGCTGATTCCAATTGCTGTACGCTGCATTTTGAAGTTCACTTTCTTCTCCCTCTCCTTCTTCTCGCTCTGGTAATTCTGGAATGTCTCTGTTAAAAAATTATACAGTGAGTACCCCAAAATCCTAGTAACCCATGCAAGACTGTTCTTTATTGAATTGGCTAAAAAAAAAAAGGCAGAACTGTTTTCTATTTTCACCATACTTGGCCAGTAAGTATACAACATTTTACACTAAGGGGAAAATAAAACCCCTTTAAACAAAAACACACACTTTACATTACAATCAATCTATATATAGTGATGGAAGGAGACTTGCCCTGGGGTGGTAAACACACAATACAATCCAAAAATGATGCGTTGTAGGATTATATACCTGGAACCTGTATAATTTTAATAACCAATGTCCCCCCCATAAATTCAATAAAAAGTAACTTTATTGCTTTTGTAAAAAAAAAAGAATCAATCTATAAGTTAGTCTGAAGATACAGCTGAATACTAAGAGTCTTCTCTAGTCTCTTTCCTAATGATACATGAGTGAATAAAGGAATAAAATGAGAAAGGAATAAATCCTGAATTAAAAAAACAACAACTATTCAACAAGTATTTCTTAACTACACACCATGTGCAGGAAGATTGAAGCTCCCTGTGGGCTATGACCTTGCACTGCCCTTGTTGACAACTCCTGCCCTAAAAGAACTTATCAGTGAGCACGCAGGAGTTCAGCGTCTCTGCTTCCTAGGAATGGACTGATTTCCCTTCGATGGTTGAAGAAAGATGGAAGTGCTTATGGTCCAGCTTCAGCCCATCAGAAGGGCCAGACCCAGAACACTTCACACAGGAAGCAGCCTGCAATGCACCCGAGTTCAGGGTCACTTCTCACGTTCTGCAGGAGTAAAGATTTTGCCAAATGCCAGGCATGTAACAAAATATGTCCAGACAGGCACCATGTAAGAGCAACAGAGGATGGGTAAATCACTTACGGTGTGTCCTATGCTGTTAGTAAAAATTGGATTTTTAGAGAAACATGCTCACATGTTTATTTGAAAGCACAGGCTATAATATTCTGATTCAAAAGTATAATATTCTGATTTTCCATTGACTTTTACAGAAACAGAAAAATCTAAAGAAAGTATACGTTCAAATTTTATCCATCTCCATCGACAGGACTACACAGGACTACTGAACTCAGATGAATCTTTAGACAGTGAGAGCCGAAGTCACTAATCCAACAATCCCCATCCCCCACCCCCACCCCCGTGTTTGAATGTGTTTCACAATATGTCTGGCAAGTAAATGTCCAGGTTTTACTTAAAGTTCTTATTTTTCTCTTTGACTTGAATGTTAGTTTTCAGTTTTCAACTGTTAAAAGGAAGCCTACCGGCCCACAGGTCCTGCCCATTAGTGTGTGTCTGAATTCTTCTCCTGTGCACATTGAGGAACAAGGCTGTGCATGAGGCTGGGGTTCTGCGAGTCTAAGCCTGACAGTGGGTAGGACTGCTAGGAATGGTGGGGGGTGTGTGGGGAGTAAAATGATGCTAAGATGCTCACTGAAAATGAGACAGTCTGAGTGAAGCTTTTATCCAGATGAAACAAGATAGAGAGATGGAAACTAGGACTAACCCTATGGAAACATAACTGGAGAGAATATGACAGAAAAAGCAGCTGTGGAAGACAGACAAGAATAAGAATTTAGAAAGAGGCACTAAAATATTCAGTGACTGCCATGGGGGTGGGGAGGTTTCTCACCCTGAACTCTAGGCTGTGGGAGCTACTCAGAAGCGCTCTGACACAGTGCCTCACGTACTCATGCCTCCTTAGCCATGAGACTAGTATCCTGAATCCCAGTAAAAAGCCTCATTCTCTTCAAAAGATTCTATAGTCTTGAATCCTTTCGCTGACCCAGACACGCTCCTGTAACTGTGCCGACTCTTCTTCACTCGGCCCAGAGAGCAGTCTAGGGCAGTGATGGTGAACCTATGACACGCGTGTCAGAGGTGACACGCGAACTCATTTTTTTGGTTGATTTTTCTTTGTTAAATGGCATTTAAACATATAAAATAAATATCAAAAATATAAGTCTTTGTTTTACTATGGTTGCAAATATCAAAAAATTTCTATATGTGACACGGCACCAGAGTTAAGTTAGGGTTTTTCAAAATGCTGACACACCGAGCTCAAAAGGTTCGCCATCACTGGTCTAGGGGATTCTAGTGCCCTGTGTTCCAGAGAGCAGAATGACCCATTCTCTTCCTACAGCACTCGCTCAGCCCGGAGTGGTGTTGAATACTAACGGCATCTCTGTCAGCTATTATGACTCCCTTTACATGTGTATTTAGCTGCCAGAAATTGGCACAAGGTCACACAGTAAAGTAGCAGTACTGAGCTTTTTTTAAAAAAATATACTTTATTGATTTTTTTACAGAGAGGAAGGGAGAGGGATAGAGAGCTAGAAACATCGATCAGCTGCCTCCTGCACACTCCCTATTGGGTATATGCCCACAACCAAGGTACATGTCCTTGACCAGAATCGAACCCGGGACCCTTGAGTCCGTAGGCCGACGCTCTATCCACTGATCCAAACCAGTTAGGGCGAAGTACTGAGCTTTTAATTGAGACCGTTTTACTACAAAACCTGAGCTCCTAACCTCCATGCTATGCTGCCCACAGTTTTATCTCGGGTTGGGCAATTCTTTCTTTGGATCCAATGGTTCAAAACATGGAGCCTACCTACTCACATCCTAATCTTGGCTCTGTCACGTATTAGCTGTGAAACTTGGCCAAGTCACTCCGCCTCCCTCTGGAGCTGATTCCTACTCTGTAAAATGCAGATCGCTTTGTTTTGAGCACCTTTATATTAATAGCAAATATACTCCCTCTGCAGTGAGGCAGCCATGACAGCGCTGCCCAAGGCAGGCCGCTCTCCTTTCTGTGCTGGGGGAAGCACAGTGCTGAACGTGGCGCTCTCTAACGCATTTTGAGTGCATTTAAGGCCTCAGCCTTTAAAGGAATACGATGCTGCCTTGGCATAGTCTTTAATTAAGCCATTTGAAATGATATTTCAGAGGAACATGGGAGTGACTGCTTTTAGCATTCTGGCAAAAAGCGTCAGGAAGATAGCGTTAACCCTGAGATGGACATTCCAGAGTGGAGTGTGGCTGAGCTCTGTACAGACAGGGTGGAGTGAATACCACTTTTTCCATTAAATTCCCGAGGTCACGGCATTCCTTCCCTTTATTAAACTCCTATCTTCCCTTCAGCACTTTCTGCATTACCATGGTCATGCGCAATTTGCAGAGGAAATAATGATGTCGTATCATGATGCCTGCAGAGTCACTGGACAACAAAGTGCTCTCGGATGTTCTGACTTCCAAGAGAAACCATAGAACTCTTCGGAAGAGCCACAGAAGACCTCAGCGTGCACACAAAGCCATTTCTGCCCTGCAGCATGCTTAAAGAGCAACCTGGTGCTTAGCTGCCAATGCAACTGAAAAACCCGGCCCGCCCGCGGCTGAGAGTGTAACATGGCACATTCTTCCTGGAAAAGCATTAACATTCTTTCTCTCCCTGTGCTGAACTCAGCAGCAGCATCACAACCTAGTTCCTACATTTCCTACGAGGGGGGGGGGGGGAAACACCATTTTCCTGTATTATTTAGAGGTCCTTAATACATTGTGTATCAACAGCATTGAAAAGACACACATTTGCTCTGGCAGGTGTGACTTAGTGGTTAGGTCATGGGTTCGATTCCCAGCCAGGGCACATACCCAGGTTGTGTGTTCAATCTCTGCTCAGGGCACATTTGGAAGGCAACCGATTGATATTTCTTTCTCACATCAATGTTTCTCGCTCCCTCTCCCTTCCTTGCTCTCTAAAATTAATACAAATATATCTTCTGGTGAGGAGTAAAAAATAAGTAAAAGGCATACACTGTGCTTCCTAACATGCATATATACCAAGATGTTCAGCTTAACATTCTCCAAAAATAAAAAATAACCATTACAAATGTTTCTCAATCTGTATGAATGTTAAAAAGAGGAATAAATAAAATTTCTGAAGATCTTTAAAAATACATAAAAAATAGGAAAAAGCATGATAAAATACTACACAAATTGTAGCTTCCAAGAAATTGATGAAACAATATTCATAACTAAGGTGAAATCTCTAAACTCAATATGTTAAAAGTGCTGTATTCAGTAGTATAATTAGAGATTACAGTGGGGCCTTGACTTACGAGTGTCCCGACTAACGAGTTTTTCAAGATACGAGCCTTCTCTCCGCCAATATTTTGCTTTGAGTTGCAAGCTAAAATTCGGGTTACGAGCAAGCTTCAGATACCCCCCCGCTAATTGGCACAGCGAACGTCACAGTGAATGCCACAACATCAGCCCAGCATCACGTGTCTCACTCGTTCACTTTTTGATTTGACATATGAGTAATTTGAGTTACGAGCTCCGTCACAGAACCAATTAAACTCGTAAGTCAAGGCCCCACTGTATTTTAATTTCTTGATTTGAATTTTCATATATTTTCCTAGTTTTCCACAGTATGTCATAATTACTTAAGCACAGGGGAGAAAGGGAAACATTTTCTTAATGTTGAAGAAGGAAAGGAATCCTCTTTCATTGCTAGTCTTCCCTGACTCTAGATTCAAAATTCCATAACCACCTCTATCATTCATCTTTGTAGCAGATTTACTGTTTCATTTACCTGCCAGTGTATGGAGAAAAAATATCCAGTGCCATTATCCCTCCAGATTGCTGTCCCAAGCTTCTTCTAAACTCTTCCAAATGTTCCGCAGGCACGTAAGTAATTCTGCAACAGAACATAACCCATGAAAGCAAAGGGAAGCAAAGTTTTAGCTGACTGTTAGGAAAAGCTTCCAAAATATAGAAATAAATAATACTGCCCCTTTATTCCTGCTTTATCACACAACTCATTTAATCAGCTTACTCGGCAGAGAATCCGAACATCAAAAAGACAATGTATCCTATAGGTAAGAATAACAGAAATTAAATCTCAGATTCTGCTGATAAACTAGGTGCTTTCCAAGAATCATATGGGAGAGGAAAAAAAACAACATTATTAATATTCCCAAATGAGAAGGCTAAAACAACTTTTGGGAATTAGAAAAATCTATAAATTCTTAGGAAAATGACTGTCAGTAATAACACTGATTTCATCCAAAGATTCTTGGTATCCTCAGCAGAAACAAATTAAGCATACACTATTAAAACACTGAGTTTTTATATTATTTTATGTAAATAACTTTATAGTCTTACACAATACTGGTACAGAATTAATTATGGGTATTAACAAGCATTATCAATAGATAAATGTTAGCTCTAATAAGTTATGAACTCTCCCAGTCTGAAGTTAAGACTAACTTTATGGAAAGATGCTCTTACTAATTTGTAGCAACTCCTTATAAGCTCATTTTGGTTTCAGAAGAAAGCCTAGTGCGTACACTTGGACAATCACTTCCTAGTTCAACGAGTATTGGGTGAAAGCCCATAATGTGGAAGGCACTGAGTTAGATGCTGACCACACTATAATGTTCAGAAAATGACGTTTGAAAATGCGAGTTGACTGCTGTCCTAGAAGGCTTTGTAGTTGATACCCTTAAGTGGGCTGTTCCAAGATCCTCAAATTAATGAAAAGGCAAGAGAAATACTGCATTTGAAGCAAGCTCAGCATGTCTGCACAACTAAAAGAATATACAAGAATCATAAAGACGAAAAACCAGCTCTCCATCACCCACCCATAAAGACAGTACATATAAAATCTCAGCACCAGAGCGCAGGATGAAAGCACTGTCTTTCATGTTACAATAAAAGATGAATTACATCAATGTCATAATTACTGAGTAGGGAGGCATGTAATTTCAGACGTAGTGGTTATTCTATAAAGAGTGGCCTCACTCTGTGAGGTCACTGAGATCTGGATTCGGGAGACACAGCGCTGCTGCTCATCAGGAGCGCGATGGGAGCGTAAATCACTACCACTCAATCCAGTATTCTCCATTGCAAAAAGGACACCCTTTTTCATGAGGCTCCTGTAAACTAGAGGCATAACACGAATGTAAGGCAGGGCGCTAACAGGGCCTCGGCGAGCCTCCGCACGGCCGATCACAATTCAGGGGCCCTTGGAAATCTCTTCATGACACTTTTACCTGGAGGATTAAAAACTCAAGCAGAGAGCACAGGTCACTGGGTTTAGGACTAGCCTGGGTGAAAGAGAGGTGCTCTAATTCTGACCCAACTTAATCTATAACAACACCTTTTCTGTGGATTAAAATATACTCAATAGTAAATTCACATTTAGCCCTTCAAAAATAATAAGTTAGAAATACAAAACACCTGGTACTGGAAAAGAAGACTGACGGTATTTTACATAAAAAATAAAGATACACATAAAACCCCAAACCTGCAAAGTCTATTCAAGAAAACAGGTATTATTTCTGAAGATTCAATATAATCAAACACATATAACTAAAACATTTAGAAAAACAGCCAGGAAGAGGGGAGGGGTGGGGGAAGTTAGAACACAAGGGTGAAATAATGATAATCAGTGCAAAGTATTTAATTTTTAACCGGTTTGCGAAGGAAAAGATATTCCTATACTAAACAATATTGAAATGAATTTTCCTCTATACTTGTTAAAAGATGGTTTTCAAAGGGTGAGGGATGGGGAGCTTTACATTTTTCTCATATTTTAGGTAACAGTGATAAAGGGTAAAGAAGGCAGTTTTCATAAATATTTAGCCCAATATACACAGCCCGGCCACCAGAACAAGCATCCCATAATGCAACAGCACATCCAGAGCAAATCACCGAAACTAAATTAGGAACGGTGCAAATAACACGGACACTGCGGATTTTGAGAGCTATGTTAAAAATTCTTACATGTAAACTAACCTTTGGTTAGACATGGAGTGGAAGAAAAAAAAGTAACGTTAGTGATGCCGAAATGCGATATGGCTCCTCACCCAGAGCCTGTGCCTGAACATGCAGCAGGATCACCCCTGACAAAGGAGCTTAAAATCTTAGTAGCTGGAAAATACGATTTTTAAATAGGTTCACAAGCATCAGTGCAATGTGAAACTGTAACAAACCCATAGCTCTGTTGTAATTTATGTCCTTATGTAAAATGAAGAAAAAAAAGAATCCAAAATGTATACCCTGAATCTATGCCTGGCTCTATCCCTGCATCGGGATGGTACAAAAGCATGGAATGGTTTTCACAGACAAGTTGTAACACACAGCCATAATGAGCTTTTTGAATCACCGATACTCACACATAAAAGGGGGCTCAATCGTCAGCAGGTGCTGTAGAAAATCTAGAATGTGAAGCATACGCCGCGGCATCTTTTTACAATGGTGTTAACAAATGTCAATGTCTTGTGCTGAATATGCGATGCATACATATGTAGTTAAAAGTGGGTGCTCCTGGTTGATTTTCCCCTTTCCACCTCCCTCCCCATCTACACCTCCCCCAGAAAAGCATCTGCTCTGTACTGGTGTCTATAGCAATGATTATTAACAAGCATGGGAAAATGTAACTGCAATCAATCTTTTATTCCTTGATCAGGAATTCATCCCACACTTTGGGTTAAGACAGGTGAATTCTGATTCCGCTCGGTAATTATCTGGCAGATGTTATCAGCAGCTGCTGCTAAGCGCAAAACCCTGGCTATTATTACAGAAATATAAGAGCTCCTGGCAAGGTGGAGTGAGAAGTGAAACAGAATGCATTCTGGTGAGGCTTCACATCTGGTTTTCCATAGAAAATAATGGAACCTGGAACTTAAACTGGCTGTTCTTGAACTCTTGAAACTCAAATTAGCTACCCAGGCGTGCACGAATGCACACTCACCATGTTCCTAGCTCTCTATCATAAAAGGCAAAAAAGAAATCTGTGCATTGTCTCAACAAGCAATGCTTTTCCTAAAACCACACAGCCATATAACTGAACCATTAAGTTTTTTTTTTCCTGAGTCCCTCCAATACACTTCTCTACCACCACCCCAGATTAAGCTAAATTTGTAATAAGAAATAAAAGGGAGGAAACAGGAATGGAGCCTAAATCCGGGCAATGACTACAAAGCTTAATTAGCCAGGGGCAATGCATGGTTCCATTCAGAGTAAGGGAGGCCTAGACTTTCCTTTTGGGAGGATTACTCATAGCTTTCAAGGTAATTCTAAACCTTTAGCTTCAGGAAAGCAAGAGATCTGGAAGGCACAGGGCCAAAAACACTTCATGCAAAATGCATGGAACATGCTGCTCAGCCCTGGCCAGACTAAATGGAGATTTGTTTTATCGTTTAGCACATTTTTTTTCCTGAAAAAGGATTATATGATTCTAATTTCTTTCCACCATTCACCCAATGGTCAAACCATAACCATCTGAATCACAGCTACAGTAGGACACTTGAGAAGAAATCAAAGTGTCATGTTATGTTTGGGAGTGTGTTTGTGTGTGTGTGTGTGTGTGTGTGTGTGTGTGTGTGAAAGAGATCGATTGACTGATTGATTTATTGACTGATTTCCAGAGGAGGGAAGGCTTTGGGATTTTCTTCTTTTCTTTTTTTTATTATAAGATACCACAGTACATTTTTGCCTCCTGGGATCTAAAAGCAAGTATTTATAAAGCGAACTCTCTAGACATCCCTCAAGGTCATCATCATGCTACTGTCCACATGAAAGAGTAAATTCTGGTGTTGAGTCAAAGGGTGGGAAAACACACACACACACAAACAACAGCAGTAAATATGAGAAAAGGAGAAAGAAGACTTTTGGTGTTGAAAACATACTGAATACAATTTCTGGAACAGGGTAAATGCACGACTTATGCCAAATCAATGTCACAATGGTCTCATTTTTGGGCTACCTTTGAAGATCTTCAGTAAATTAGAATGGAGGAAAAGGCTAGAACCAAGCACCAATTATGGCACTAAGAGACCTGCATCAGTGCTCCAAGCTCAATGCGGGCATTATCACACAAACAAATCAAGTGATCAGTTACCAGGCCATCTGCATTTTATGCTGCATATAAACTGTATAAGCTAAACCTTTGCCATGAAGAGTCTCCATGTGGATGCATACCATTTATCTTTTAAGCAAAAGAAATGGACATTGGACCACAAGGGATGAGAAAAGTACTTACTGTTTCTCTTTTTTTCTGAGTAGAGAGACACTGATTTTTTAATGATGTTTACTTGCATTCATGTCATTAATAAGATAATTATGGAATAGTCACAAGATTTCATTCCATAAAATAAACGTCAAAAGACATACAAAAATTTGAAAGCCCATTAGTGAAATTCTGCCTGAAAATAATACATTTTTATGAGAGAAGAATCTACTCCAAACAATATATATTTTTCTACTTTTTATTGAAGGCATAATGAAAACCAGATTGAAAATATTGTTTTTCTTACCTAAGCTCTAGAAATATGTACTTTGCAAATGAATAATACAGAATGCAGTCAATAAAATAGCATTCATACAAAAAAGTCTCCCCTAATAGTAACTATTACATTAATTTAAGGTCAGCATTCTTTCCCTGAGCTCTTATTTTACTAGTTTATCCCTTATACAAAAATACAAACATCCAATGATTAAAGCTATAGGGAAAAGTCAAGCTGTTACATGGAAGAGGTACAACAATAAAGTCATGAACTAATTTTAGGTTGGTTCAGAAAATGTTTAATGCCTTAAAAACCAAACCACATATGTAATGTGCATTGGGCGCATTATGGAATTATGGGATATTTTAAGCACTTCCTCACAAAATATCCTATATGACCTACATTCAGACTATATCAACATATTGGTGAATTCCCTTGGATCATGAGGTTCAGCACAGGTAAATTACTCATCCAACTGGCACTGTTTTCTATGGTCTTGTCCATTACTAGCCCTCAAACAACCGGCTTAGTTCTAGGACCCATACAGGTCACATAGGTAGTGCACAATTCCTTATATGGAGGGCCAATCAAAACATCTTTATAAGATTTTAAGAGTGGACCTTCCTCTTCTGTGAGAGATGTCATTATCTCATATCTAAGGTTTTTGCAAAAAAAAAAATCATATAAAAAGTGAAATTAAAAGAGAAAGCAACATTGTTTTAAAATATTTCTTTTAATAGCAGGTATTTATTTATTTCAAGAAATTAAAGAAGTGACTCACTTGAGAAAAGTTAAGTTTCCCCTTTTTAAAAGGGGTGGGTGGATCATACACTGGAGACCCATTCCAGCTGATGTGCAGGACTTCCAGGAATGGCTAGAGTGCTCCCTCCTATTCTAGGGGGAGCTGCAGAATGGGGAGGGACTAGGGGAAGGATCTCTGGAGTATGCCCCCAATACTAGTTGCAGGTCAGCTCCACTTCATTTTTTTGCGATAAATCAGAGCCCTTCTGGGTGATGCTGAGGCTGCTGTACTCCTGGGTTGTTCTGGTCCTTCTCCTTTTGATCTCCCTGAGGGGTTCCATGGGATCTTAGGATTGACTTGTCCTCTCACATCCAACCAGAAGGGGAGGGCCTTTTGGATGGGCGTGTTCTCCGTTTCCTTTCTCTTCCTAAGGGCTTCAGCATGGAGCTGGAAGACTCTCTGGCCTCCATTCTGTTCACTTCCACTGTCTTTACTCAGCCAGGCTGAGATGCAGGGTCCAGCTCTTGGACCTTCTAAGGTCTCTGTAACAGGTCGGCTGGTCATCTCCCTCCTACAACCACACTCGCACTGCACAGGGTGTTACTGCTGCTGCCCCTGGCACTGCACCCTGGTCAGGCCCTGCTGTGCAGGGTTAGGAAAGACAGTGAGTCCCTAAGCACAGAGTGTTTGCATGAAGCATATTGTTGGACTCCTTCCCCACTAGCATAAGCGAGAGAGGTGGCCCCAGACACCTCAGTGACCACGGGAAGGCTCCTGACACTGACCAGGTTGTGGTCACTGGACTCTTCCTGTCCTTTGCCTCCAACACAGGTATGTGCATCATATCACAAGCTGGCAGGGCATGAGTACACGGTAAGCCTCCACTGGCGGTCTCAGGAAGAACACCAAGTCTTCCCAGTGAGCAAACTGATTCTTCCTTTGCATCTGAAGGGGGCATAATTGTAGGTAAAAAGAGCGGCCAGTACAAGCTTCAAGAGGAGTGTTTTCCCTCATGATGGTAGATGGACATCTTTACAGACTTCAAAGGAGGCAGCCTGGTCAGCTCCGAGCTCTTGGCTGACTTGAGTCCCCTTCCCCGGTTGTGGCCATATCTGACACCAACTGCACAGCTGACACCAGGGGGTGCCAGCAGCATGACATCAGTACTGGGAGCCGGGGCTGGTGCAAGCGGTGCCCACAGTGACCATTCGCACACTGTGTGCACGTTGATCACTCTTTCTCTCTTGCTGACCTGGATGAAGTTGCTCTCAAACATGGGAATGTGCTGGAACAGGCGCATGCATCCTTGCTGCAGCTGCCCCATGGAACCGCGGAACACGAGCAGCACGACAGGTGGCTGCCGTGGGCGCCACCCTCCCACAGCTTCCTGCTGCTACTCATGTCTGTCTTTCATTAAGACCATTGCACATCCTCTCTGGAATCTCCACCTGGGTCTGAACCGCAGCCCCTCGGGGCCGCCTTTAAGCTTTTGCTGTCTATTATGGCCTATAGCCCTCACACATAGCACCGTGTCCTCATGTCCACAGCTGCCTCCACAGGAAGGGGCAGCGTCCTCCTGCAAACAGCCACCCATCCAGGAGCCGAGAGTGCAAGGCATGCATGCTCAGTCCTAAAATATTTCAACACTGTTATCTTAAAAACAATCAAAAATCAAGAACTATTCAGGAATAGTCAAACCTGTAAGTGATTTATATTAAATAATTATGTAGTTTTTGTATATCAAGTAGAAATGTATTTGGGGGGAAAAACACCTCTGATTAATGAACTGAAATTCCTGAATTTCCCAAGCCAAACTGGGGTCCCAATGATGCTTACTTAATGTCAGGCCCAATGAGGGAATGTCTTCTCAACATGGCTCGTGCCTGGGCGTTGGTTAAACTGATAGTAGATTCTTCATTAATAGACAAGATGCAGTCCCCAACAGCAATCCGGCCATCTCGACTAATGGCACCTCCATGAATAATGCTTCGGACAATCACCCCCAAGCCATCTTTGTTAGCGCTTACTGTCATCCCTATGGTAATGGAGGAACACAGATATGGATTAAATTTGCAATTTTCAAATTCACTTTTATTTGAAAGTCACATAATCCCTATGAATTAGCACTAATTTTTCAAGCCAATAAAAAACAAAATGAAAGACACACTAGAGTGAATGTATTTTAGGCGAACTGGTGTGTTACCCCTTATATAGAAAGCTCTCCCAGGGAGCATGTTTTCACAATATCAAATCAATTTCACAACAGGAGTCCATCTTATATGTATAAGAGAATAAAAAACAGGACCATGAATGGAAAATTAGTTCAATACATCAAGAAACTCTGTGCTACTACTTTATTCCCAAATCATTTGTTCATTCAGTATAGACTTCTTATATGCTTACTATGTGCCAAATACTATGTTGGTGGCTTGAGATAAAAAAGCGTAACAGAATTCCTAACATCAAGAAGCTTGTATTAAGTCCTATCCTCAGTGCCTATCACAGTGCCTGTTGAACTAAGCTGATGTGAACTTAATACTAATCTACTCCCATTTTATCTCCAAATCTGAATTTCTGTAAGCTCCAGATCTGGATACTTAATTGCCCTCCTGACATGCACCCTGGATGCATAACAGGAAGTGCACCTTCGTACGCATAAAACTGAATCCCCAGGCTTCTACCTCCCCTTGTTTCTCCATGTCTTCCCCTTTTTGGGGTTGACACTACAACACTGCTCTCCATTGCTTCAAGCAGACATGTTGAAATCAATCTTGATTCCTACCTCTTTCTCACCCTTTATTCTTTTTTTATTGTTTTATTGCTTAAAGTATTACAAAGGGTATTACATATGTGTCCTTTTTTTTTCTTAATCCATCACCTCAATCTTGATTCCTACCTCTTTCTCACCCTTTATTCTTAATCCATCACCCAGTCCTGTTATTTCTATCTCCAGAACTTATCCTGAATCCTTGCATCTTTCTCCATTTCATTACTAACCCTAGACTAGGCTAGCACTTTCTCTTGCCACACTTTTCAAAACAGCCTCCTGTTTGGCTTCCAGTGCATTTTTCTTAGCAGACAGAGATGACAAATCACATCACTCCCTTGGTAACAACCCTTTAATAACCTGTTATGCTAACATACAACACACCTACTTGCACAGTCTTTGGGCCAGGTGTCCTGGCCCTCTGAACATGCACCCTTCCTTGTTCAATGTCCTCCTTGGCTCCCTGTGTTCCAGCAACTATGCTTCAGAAATTCACCTGGTCTCTCCCCATGTCAGAGGGACCGACAGCCTCTCAGCAGCTCCTGCACAGCTAACTCCTCACTTCAATATCACTTCCTCAAAAATGACATTCACAACAAGCCTCACCCGAATTTATAATCCCTTCTCACCCTACCCTCACTCTACTCCTTCAAAAATATAAAACCTTTTAAATTATGTTAACACATTCTGTAAAATAATGTTAATTCACTTCAATCAAGTGCTAGAAGTTCCTTCCAAAACAAGATAACATAACTAAACCAGGTAAGGAGAGTATTTATAACAACTTTTTTCTGAGGAAAGTGACAATTCCCTCTTTAAATATTTATTTATTTTTGGAAAAAAACACAAAGTAATACTTTCTGACTAAAGATTAATTCTAATTATACAAAATTAGATATATTTTTTAAATATTTTGAAAGAACAACCCTGACTACAATTTGCTTATAGCCTTAGATTTCATGCCTGGATATGAGGAATCCAGGCTATTAGATATCATTTTCTGACAGAAATGAACCATTATGAAATGAATTCAAAATATTCTTTTAAGACTCACACTAATGATTTTTAAATGCATTGTCATGAAGGAAACATCTCTGTTGATCATAAGCGAACAAACATGTTTAGACGCTGTTTCATCCCAGGTGGGTCTCTTATGAGCAAAGAGGCTGGCCTGAAATGTTTCAACAGGTTCTCTAGTTTGCTCTGATGCTGCCACCCTTCGCACTAAGCTCCACCAATGTACTACAGTGACATCCAAATGCATGACTATAAAACAAAATTTCACTCAGTGGCCCATACTGGGACTCCAACACTTCATCTTGTTCTCACTAGCACCAGGCACTCTACAACACAGCAAGCCACACATTTGGGGCAGACATCATGAGTTATGGTCCACATGACCTCTAACTTCATTTTTAATGGCATCTTTAACTCCCAGCTCCAGCAGCTATTACGCTGTCATAAACCAAGACATAGACATCAGTTGTCTCAGCTTGTATTTTCCTTTTGCCAAATGATCATTTTCAGGGTTCAACAACTGCAAGGTAATCTCCATTAACTAGATTTTGATTGTAACTTATAAGATCTCCCAATTTCTTCTGGGAGGAAGAATAGTAGGAATAGCCTAAATCGTATACTGTAGAACTAGAGAACTGGTTCCAAATTGGAGTTCCACCACTTGTAATCAGTGTGGCCTCGGGCAACTGACTTAACCTCACACTAGATCTCATTTTATCATTTTACTCATCTGTAAAATGGGGATAATGCCTATTTTTAGGGTTGTATTAAATGAGAAAATAAGTACATAATAAAAACTTATGTAGAATACCTTTCAAAGTCCCCAACCCAAAGTGCTCAACAAAGTACAAAACATAAACAAATGACATCTCACAAAATATATTTAAGATGCCTCTCTATGCTAATCAACAGCTACATTGCTCTCTAAGGGCTCAAGAAAAACATAATTCAGCTTCACAATGACACTTGTTATCACAGAAATCTCCATGTAGCCTTGGGTAACTCAAGCACTGATGTGTATTGTGTAGTATGTGAAAACCAGAGAGAGACTGAAGTTTGAGTTCTGATTCCATCTCCTAAAGACTGAGCACTTTCAGAAAAATGAGTGAGTCTGTTTATGTTTCTGTACCTAATCTGTGAACAGAGGATTGATCTTTCTTTCCCTTCTACCTTATTACCTTCAAGTCCTAATACAACATATCTACAGAAATGAGAACAGACATACCAAAAATCATTAAGATTAAAAGTTTAAAAGGTCACTATATGCATGTGTACATATCTGCATATATTTGCATATGACATTTCCTCCCTAAATTTAACAGAGTTAAAAAAAGTGATTCGTGAAATCAAAGCAAATGGATTATGACAACTTTTACAGAACCTATCCAGAAAACAAAACCTAAAAACAAGCTCATGTAAGTTAAGGGGAGACTGTGAACCTAGAAAAAGTGTTCAGTTGTTCATTGATAGACCTTTCATAACACACTCACCTATCAGCACAAAGCAAGCCTCTACTTGGATTTTCTAAAATACTATCACATTTCTTGTTACTTCAAGTTGTAAAGGCAGCAACTTCCTACATTAAAAGCTTAAATGGTTGCTTTAATAAAATTACTTTAATGTTTTACGCAGATTTTAAAAATAGGCCTTTTTCTCAATTCCTTTACATTTAGTTACTCTAAGTGCTGCAGAAATCTGAATAGTGAACATCTCCTGTCAAATAAGACAACAGAGAAATGTTCTTGCTTTACCAAAGTGAATTTGAACTCCAAAATGCTGTGCCTCGGGAAATGGCACATCCAGGAAAAGGTCTATCTACATTTTGAGTATGTAAATAAATTCACATGAATCACAAAAGTAAAACTAAAAGTTACTTCTATTTATATTAAAACTAGTGGCCCGGTGCATGGATTCGTGCACATTGAAAGTAAATTATTTAGAAGAAATATTTTAATATTGCTATTCGCCCTTTCTCTATAATAGAAGTGTCAACCAAATTCACAATCGACAATGGCAGATGGAAACAGATGTGCACAACTGGTGCCAGTGAGAGCTTCATATGTATTGCGCTTGCACAAGTCAACTTAGCCTTTTATAGATATAAACCTGTTTAATTACACCTACTTTCTAATTTAGATAAACTTTTTCCAGCCCAGTGAAGCCCCCCCACTTCTCTTCAGGTAATTGTCAGCAACACAGCAGTAAATATCAACACGAAGCAGATTATTATTGTAGATCACTCAGGGAGAACAAAGGGTAAAATATTTAACTGCAGCAATGTTTGACTATATTCTTCCCAGTGAGAAAACCTGAAGTTATTTTCAAGGTCCACCATTTCTTACTTCTTTTCAGTCAGGCCAAGTGTCTAAACTTTCTAAATATCCATTTTCCGGCTCGTGAAAAGAAAATAGGATTCCAACGAGTCTCCTATCTACCTACTCCAGGACTTCTGTGAGGATCAAATGAGATGAGGCACAGGAAAACACAGACATTTGGTTAAAGTGTAAAATGTTTCCACCTGTGTTTCTGGAACTCCAAGGAGGCTAGTTGCTACGGAGAGGAAGCTGGGCGTTGCCATGTGATGTCATTACCCGGCACCCACACGACCGTTTCAGGGGTGGGCTGGGCTATTGGCTGCATTTTGCGCCATGGGGTCTTGGCAGCCTCGGCTGCGATTTGGTGGGCTGTCACTCCAGGGTGGTGACAGGGCCTGTGTCTCACTTGGGGGAAGCCAAGTGTTGCTTTCTGGGGGCCAAGTCTGCAGTGCCATTTCTCTATGCATGTCACAGCAGCTCCTACATTAAGCGTCTGCCCCCTGATGGTCAGTGTGCGTCATAGCGACTGGTTGGAAGGTGGGAAGGACACTTAGCATATTATCCTTTTATATAGATAGATTTGGTTAATAAGCTAGTGGCACTATGTTTGCCACTTCTAGGTTTAGTCACACACAGCAAATGAAAGGATTCTCTTATACTTTAATTTTAAAATCAAGCTACTGAGGTTTAAATGGATTTTCTGATATGACAGAAAGCCAAGACACTTCACCTTTCACTATTTTCCCCCCCAAGAGATTAATCATAATTAGTATATTTTAAAAATCAAAACTTAAAAGCTATGGTGGAATCACCTTAAGTGAGTCCAACAACAGATAAATGAATAAACAACCTGTGGTTGCTCTGGCCAGTGTGGCTCAGTTGGTTGAGTATCACCCAGTGCACTGAGAGGTAGCCAGTTAGATTCCTGGTCAGGGC